CAAACAAACACACACCAAAAAAGCGATCCCTAAAAATCCACTTGTGATCTTAATCAGGTCTTTCTACTGGAAAAGATGCATACCTCTTAATGTAAAGTTGAAACCTTGGCTATATGCTGGCTCAATTTTGCCCTCAGCTTTGCACTTATATTGACCCAGTTCACTGCTAGAATTGACTGTGAAGTTAAATATAACTTTTTCTTCCCTCCTGTTCTGTGTTGCAGGACGTAGTGCTCTCATTTTGTTTAAAAATAAGGTGTAGTTAATCGGCAGGCAGTCTGTCTCCCAGTAGCACTCCAGTGTCACGTTTCCTCCAATGGTGGTTTCTGGTGTGGGACTGTAGATTTTGAGACCCTTCATAAACTTTGAGCAAGAAGTAACATTCTGGGACAATTCTGTAATAAAAATTGAACACTGATGATCAAATTTCAATATGTGTTAGAAGTGTGACTTCAGTAGCACTGAGTCTTCAGCACCTTCTCACAAGGTCCTGGCTACAAACAAATGTGGGGTATAAATTGAGAGAGACAAATTTCCTCCCTGCCCTATTTATATCTCAATGTGTCTGCTGTTTGTCTGAGATTGCTAATTTTAGATTGCTTCCTTTCTGCCTTTTTCTTCCGAACCCACCTTCTGCCTGAGTCTCCACCTCATAGGATGTAGTAAGGTAGGAGCTCGGATTTGCTCTTCTCCTCTCATGGAAATCCTCTAAGAAACCTTTCTGTGAACAGTACAAAAACCTTGTTTCATTAGTGTTACTGCTACTACTTTACATTAGCTGAGCTTAGGCCAATGAACTTTTCTGCAGCTTCTGGATAAAGAAACAAACACAATCCATATAGAAACAAATCCATCGTCCAGGGATAAACAACAATAATAAAAGTCACTGGGAAAAATATTTAAATACCTTTTGTTTTGCTGCCAAATGAGTTTTGTTGAATTGCTTTCATTTCTGAACTATCTCTGGAGGCAGATCTTTCTGCATTCCATTCCAGATATTCCAGTTCCCCAAATAAATGCAGAATATGGACCTGTATTGGAAATCTTAAAAGTACAGCTGGATTTCTGTACTGGATGGAAAGGGAAGTCCACATGATAAGCAGCTTCAATTTCCAGCTGTATTCTAACTGCTATAAAAAAAAATCTCACATAACATTTTTCCATAAAGACTACTGAAGATGGATGTTGCTCATTGTTGTAAGGAATTTTTAAATTATTTCTCAGAAGCAGTCCCTGTAAACAAAAGTTCATCTTGAGCATCACTAACACTTTTAACTCTGACATTTTCTGATCTAGAGAATTAAATTACTTTAGGAGCTTTGCTTCTCTTCATCCACTGCTGTTTTTATCTGCATAAATTCCATTGCTCTCAAAGACTGTAAATCATGAGCAACAGCAACTAGAAAAATAAACTCCACTTCTTTCTGTGGGTAGTTCCTCTTTTTGGTCAGAAAAACATTCAGCTTTTAGCTATTCTTCAACACCAGCTTCAGCTTTGAGAAGCTTTCTCCATCAGAGGCAATAGATGGTTTGTGTGATTCCTGCTTTCTGTTTTTTTTTTGTTTTGTTTTTTGACACTGGATGTATATGTTATCACCACAGAGCAGTGAAATAAGTGAAGGAAGATAAAAGGAATTTTCCATGGAGCAAGTAAGCAACAGAGTGCTCCAACAATGAACAGATAGCCTCTTAAACTGTTGGAGGCCTGAGATGTAGATCAGAGAGAGTCTCCATACCAAACTGGAAATCTGAGATTTCCAAAGTCTGAACAGTGGCCCAAAGCTCTCTTCCCCATCATTGCCCCCAGTCTCATTTTTCAAACAGCTGGCATGCTGATGTGTGTCGGCATAATTTCCATTCAAGCTCCTGCCACTAGAGTTAAAAATTTTACCTTCTAGAAAGACATTGAGTTGTATATTTTTGACAGTCTTCTTAAAATCCATCATCACCCCACCAGAAGCATTTATTCTGTACTGAACAACATTTCCACCCTGTAGGCACCTTGAGTTCTGTTTAGACTTTAGTTGTCACTTAATGGTAGCTGTCTCAGGAGAGCCTTGTATCAATTTTCACAACATGTCATCATAACTATTTATTGTATACTGGATACCAAAAGGGAGTAATTGAACATCATATGTATTCTGATCAAAGTTTTGCTATTATCATAATATATAGATACAGATATTATAATCTTGACACAATAGGTGGGTTCACACATCATGCTAAGCCATAGATTGTTAACCATGGCTTGTTGAGAGTTACTGCTGATAGGTGATTTACAAATGTAATACTGTAAATAAATAATACAAGGACATAACTCTTAAATTAGTCAAATTGGTTGGAATGGCAGTTGCTGACTTTTGCTGTTGCTCCCCTCTTGGCAACAGTAGCAGGCTGAATCTCCATATAATCATTTATATTCTTGTCCTTTGTGAATTTTCTCAACTTTGAATGACATCTAACAGCATGACCATCCATAGGCAATACTGGGTGGATTTGAAGCAAGGAAAGAGAGATAACAGTCTCCACTCCAATTTAGAGAAGTGAAATCAGTTTGCAGGAGTGATTCAGAGTATAAATTCCAAATACAAGGAATTAAAATGTTATAATAAATGTATATATTTTTTTGCAGTCTGAGCAAGGGAAACACAGAAAATCTTCAACCATTTGGCTTTCATAACATACAATCAGATTTCCAAAGCGAGTAACACACAATTAAAACTTTCCATAAGTTAAATTTTTCTTTAAGATTTGATATATATATTAAATTATGTTTGAACAGATGGTTCTGCATCCTCAGCACAGATGCTTTAGCACACATCACAATAAAGATTATGAAATGATGGCCTAAATGAAAAAACAATATTAGATGAATAGTAGAAAATATTAATATAGCCTATATTATATGTAGTTCTATAATTTCAAGGAGAAACTTACCATTTTTAGCTCTGTTGCCGTCATCATCACCACCACCCTTCATATTTTGCACCCCTGAATGAACTGAAATTAAAAAATAATACTGAGTGACATTAAGTAAATTGAAACCTTCTGAAGAGAAGTATTGTTAAAAACAAATCCTTACAGAACATTAACAGGAGATATAGACATCTTAGGCTTTTGGTCATCTTAAAACAAGAATGGAGAAGCTGTTTCCTGCTTTGTGCAGAGCTGTGGTTTTGCCAATAAAGCATCGTCTGAAGAGGAAGCTTGTGCAATAAATGGGTGGAAATCAGCGGAATGAAAAGTTACAAATGTTTGCTAAAAAAGTGTGATGATTCTTCTCCATACTGGTTTCTGTTTCTGCTTAATCTAAGCTATTTTCAGATAAAAACCATTATCTAGTAATTGGAAAGCAAGCTCAGAGTGGATTCATGTCATCATTGCAAATCCAACATTGAGAAAGTCCCCAGGAAACTCATTACATCTCCTAAAACTGTTTGCATGCCTGGAGGAAAAAAAGGCAAGCTGAAAAGTGAAAGTGACACATCTGTCTGGAAGAAAAAGAACTGAGAAGGGAAGTGAAAGAAATAGATTCCATAAGTAAAACAGGGAAGATGGGGACTGAAGCCAAAGGTCCAATTGTAGTAATCATGTTTATTTAATTGTAATCCCACCTTTATTTTTAGTCATCTCAAGGCAGTATCCACACCTAATGCTCCTGTATCCCATTTTCGTACAACAACAACCCTGTGAGGTGGGTTGGGCTGAGAGACATTGACTGGCCCAAAGTCACCCACCGGCTTTCATATCTATGGCAGGACTAGAACTCACAGTTTCCTGGTTTTGAGGCCAACACCTCTATAAATCCAACAGAATAAACAATCCTATTATTATTTAACAGGGAACCAAAAAAATGGGTCAAGCACCAGAGAGATTGTCTAAAGAGATGATTTGTTTAGGCAATCTCTCCGCTCTTCAAGAGGGGAAAAAAATGGTCAGGCACAGGACAATGTATAATAACTGACTGTAATGGCGAACATGTGGCTGAAAGAGAGATGCTGTGAAGGTCGCACATGCACACCTTGGTCGCAAAGTTATTTTTTCAGCAGATTGTAACTTTGAACGGTTGCTCCATGAGGCAGTCAGTAAGCAAGGTCTATCTGTATTATTATCGTTGTTGTTGTTTATTAAACATGTATGCTGCCAGACACCCAACAACTCTGGGCGGCTCACAACAAATAAAGAAATTACAATAAAATCAATAAAAGATAAAAGATGGCAAACACAACAGACCAGATGGACTGAAGCGAGGGGTCTCGCTCTCCCTCGCCAAAGACCTGGGTGAAGAGCCAGGTCTTCATGGCTCTTCTAAACAACAGCAGACTGGGGGCCATCCAAATCTCAGGAGGAACCTCATTCCAGAGGGCGGGCACTGCTACAGAGAAGGTGCGCTTTCAAGGTCCTGACGGATGACATTGTTTAATCAAAGGAACTTGGAGTGGACCAACCCCGCAAGATTGAACCAGCCAGGCAGATGTTATGGGAGACAGGCGGTCCCTCAAGTAACCAGGCCTATGCCATGCAGGCCTTTAGAGGTAACAACCAGCACCTTGAGTTGCACCCAGAAGCTAACCAACAACCAGTGCAGCTCACGAAGCAAAAGTGCTTGGGCATGCCAAGCCATATCATGCAGTCCTAATGTACATAAAGTGGGTCTGAATGAACAAATAACACCAAAGATTGGGGTCTGTTTCATTTATTTTATAAACAAAGTCATCCAACATGTAATATCCCAGGATGAAAACGTAATCATTCTACCTAGTTTAGTCAAGATAATTAAAGGGAGAACAAGGACCAGTTGTAGGAGTTCTTCATTATGTACTATAAAGGATGTATGGAACAAAAAAGCAAGGCAGCTGAAATGATGTTATTATGCCTACCCCTGATAGTTAGCATGTGCAAGGATGTGGTTAAAATAATTGCTTCAAAGTATTAAAGTAGAACAACCACAAAGGAAGAGAAGTCCCCATCTTTCAGGAAAAGGCCTCAGTCTTAAAAAAACATTGGTTTTATCAATGTGAAAGCTGTAGATACCTGGAAATTTCTACAGTTACCCACTGTACATTGCCATGGCATTACAGATTTTTTTTTTACACATGTGCAAGATAAACTATAAGCAGGGAACTTCAAGATTAGCTAGAAGATGATCCAACATAGAATAACTCATGTAGTAGCCAGTGCAAATGTAACACTTGTATTTCTTTGGGTTTAAAGTGACTATAAATGCTTGCTTGTGTGTTTGCTCAGGTTCTTGCTCAAAGAACATTATCTAGCATGTTCTTGTATGCCTGACCCAGACTCTGCAGACCCTGAGTGAAGGTATTTTGGAGACTCTAAACCATGTCCTGACTGAGTAAGGGAATGGGCCCAAATCTCATCATTCAGGTGACTGAGAAGGGTGCTAGGAGTTTCCCAGGACTTTTCTCCAGCAATATATACATGTGCAATGTTTATTTCAGGCAGAAGACCCAAATAGAGGGTACTTCATTAAATAATCAAGGCTGATTTGGGGCAGCCTTGCCCTTAGAAATCTTACCTTCTTTGACTTACCTCATCACAGAGAAGTTCTTATCACACAAATTCTAAAGGCACTTCATGCCTTGCTGAAAATAAATTTTGGAAACCCTCCACAAAAAGTCTTATCAATCTGGAAAAGGTTACAAAATGATTCCTAAAGCTCTTAAGAGTTCATTAATCCACAGTTAGAGACAAAGTCTTGAAATGGAGAAGATTTGAGACAATAGTGAATTTTCATGCAATTGGAAAGGGTGAAAGTACAGTTATTTAATCTAATGGAGCAAGTCAGTGTGCTGCCAGATTTCAGCAACAGAAGACAATAGCTCAGTTTTCCACCCATCCCCTCCATAAACCACTTTTCTTATAAGTCACAGTGGCTGAATTCACAGAATACACTACAATAAAAACAAACAAGCCACTGTTTAATTTAGGGTGAGGAATTTCAAATCTTTGGGGGATGGGGAACGACTTTGAAATTTTGAGAATATGCATGGGCGTGCTCACAGAATGGCTATCCAAACTGGTAAGGCTGCTTCCTAACGACTCCTGTAGCCTATGATGCCCTCTATCACCTCATCTTATCCTTCTGTGGGGCAAGGAGGTACCCTTCTGAACAAAAAGCTACTGGCTGCAGCCACCCATCGTGTTTATTTTCCAAGATTTTTAAAATGAAGATACAGTAATGTGTTAGGCTGACACCTAGCTTTACAGCTTCTGATTATTTTGTTAGATTAAAACAATCAGGTAGGCCTGGAGCCTCACAAGCACTCAGTGGACGCCAGACTGGGGCCCTGGCACTAAGGCCAGGTGTGCTTCAGAAACACTCCTGGAGAAGCAGCCCACATCTGGGCAGTTCTGAGGCCAAGTCCCCATTTGCACCTAACCATGGCACAACAAGCCCTGCCAGCATCTTTTTTTCTGCCATTAGTATTTCCAGGATGAAGGAAATCCTCCAAGAAGATGAAGGACTCTTATTAAACAAGTCTTCTGAAGTTATCTATTTTACCATGAAGTGACATATTTCACTGAAAAGTTTAGAATAACAAAAAACTGGTGTTGGATTTAATAGCTGAGCCACATCAGATGACTGCTCCTTAGGAGGATATGAGTGTGTGAAAAAGGTATTGGATTTTTATCTTTCACACAAAAGATACTTTTAAAATCATTATCCAAGCAGTTCAGTCACAGTGGAATTGTCCTCATTTCATTTTTGTCAGAGGTACAATCTCCCCTGTAAGGCCAAAAGCAAAACTTTTTGTAAGTTTTCATTCATAAAATCAGTCTTTCGTGGAGTGGTAGAAGGCCCGGCCCAAACAAGATCAACATGTTATGTGGTGGCTGTTTCCACTAGATGGTGCCATTATGCAGTGCACAATTGTACTGTATCTTGGCCACCCGGAATGATGCGTCTTTGCTTATGTTTTTAAGCATGGCCGGCTTCTCACAACGTACATCAGGCAGATATTACAGATATTCTGCTCCGGCAAGGCAGAATAAATAAGAGCAAAGATTGGTTTCTTAGGATTTCTTGTCATGAACATACAGTAAAAACATAGAGTTTATAGTCCTCTAAACATCACTACAACTATTGAAGCCCCTATTTAGAAAATAAAATACAGATCCATAAGAAAATGCTAATAAACACGCTATTATAATCTGGTTGCACATCTGAGATACTTTCCCTGAAAGCTACTTTTCATAATTCTCAGGGAAGTTAGAGGGCACACAAATGTGGCTGTGCTTAAGCAAAGTGCCCTTGCTCAGAGGGCTATCCAGTTTGGGAGAAAAACCTTGGCGTCCTGTTCAGGATTTCTGGGAGAGTTTGGAGTAAAGAAAGGGGGAAAGGGATTTATTTTCTTAGCCACTTTCGCTCCCCTAACTGGATCCCCTCCAATTCTGAGGATTGCAGTCCAAGCACAGCTGGAGAGGAAAGATTAGGTTAGACTAATCTAGGTGGACAAGGCCTTTCCTATATTGTTACAGTGAAGCTTTCCTCATTCTCAGTCCCCATCACCTCCAGCCAAAGTTCCTGAGTTCCTTCCATTCCAGGCACCTCACCCCGTCTTTAATTTTGGATCCAGCTCTTCCCCACATTTTGAGGAGAAAAGAGCAGAGCACCACTAATTTATTTTGGGGAAAAAGTGTCAGTGTTTTTCACTATTTCATTTTCACTGTGTTCTGCAATGTATTTTTACCTTACAGGTAGTCCTTGCTTACCAACTGCCTTGTTTAGTGACTGTTTGAAGTTATGATGGTTGGGAAAAAAAAGCTTTGCGACCAATCTTCACATTTACAACTGTCGCAGCATCCCTCAGTTATGTGATTGCCATTTGTGCACTTCACGGCCGGCTGCCAACAAATAGAGTCAATGGAGAAGACAGCAGTAAAATGATGTCTCACATAATGTCCGCGGTGATTTGCTTAAGGATGGAAGCGGAAGTGACGTTGTGAGTCTGGCATAGTCACATGATTTTTTGTTTAGTGACTGTGGCGCTTAGCAACAGAGTTGCAGGTCCCCGTTGTGGTTGGTAGGTGAGGACTACTGTATTGATTTCAATTTATATGGCCGCCCATCTCACCAGCGTAACTCCTGTGGCTAACAGGAATT